AACACGAGGATATTATCTTTCATCTTGGATGAAGGATGATGCACAAAGATAATTTCATCCAAATAGTGACACATATCGTCCTCTATAATCCCTCGTGACTCCGGCTATTTTCGTGCCGCTTCACTATATATAAAGCGGATAAATAATACATTGTATCATTTATACGAGTGTAACATAACATGCATATGACAATGAAATGTAAGCATTTATTTTCTTAAACATTTCCGAAAGAAAAAAAAAATGGAATTTAAATTTTTAGAAAAGTTATCTCAAGACTTTTCGGAACTTCTTAAAGATGAAGAAGAATATAATGTTATTATTGAAATTGGTCAAGAACAAAATAAAAAAACCTTTACTGCACATTCAGCTGTCTTACGTTATCGTTCATCTTACTTTAATAAAGAATTAACAAATACTATTCCCAATAATGATAATAATAATATTAAAACTATCACTAAACCAGATATTTCTGTTCAAATATTTGAAATAATTCTCAAGTAAGCCTTTATAAAATTTTAATTATTATGAATTAATAGAGAATTTTTGCATTATATATACTGTGAAATATTAAATTAAAATATTTGAATAAATTTTAAATAGATATATCTATGGCGGAATTATTAATACAGAAAATATGGATACCAAAACTTTATTTGAATTAATGGTTGCTGCTAATGAGTTAGAGTTTGAGGAATTATCCGAGAAATTGGAAAATCTCTTTATTAAATCCAAAGCTTCTTGGTTAAGAACTCATTTCACCTTTGTTCATCATTCAATTTTTAAATATAACAAATTTCAAAATTTAAAAAATTTTTTTAATAATATTATTGTAAAACATCCAAGTATTGTTTTTGAATCTGCAGAATTCGTTTCTCTTCACGAATCTGCTTTAGTGTCAATTTTAAAACGAGATGATCTACAAATGAAAGAATCGGAAATTTGGGATTATTTAATTAAGTGGGGAACTGCACAGAATCCCATTTTACCCGAGAAATTGGAAGAATGGTCTGACGGAGACTTTCTGACTTTAAAGACAACTCTACAACAATGCTTGCCACTTATTCGTTACTTTCATACTTTAAATTTAGATTTGATGGATAAAGTCAAGCCATATAAGAAAATTCTTAATAAACAATTATGGAATGATTTAAAACAACATTTTATAATTCCAGATCGACCAGTAAAATCAATTATTTTACCACCAAGATTGGTTTTAACTCAAAAGTTACCACCAAGAGTAAATAAAGCATTTTCCACTATAATTAATGACGAACATGCAGCAGTGATTTCATCATGGATTGATTATCGACCAACAAGTTATTCTTTAACAAATAATCCTTACGAATTGCAATTAATCCTTCGAGGAAGTAAAGATGGATTTGCTCCAAGAACGTTTTGGGACATTTGTGATGGTCATGTTAATACAATTGTGATCACTAAAGTTAAAGGAACCAATGAAATTATTGGTGGATTTAATCCCTTGGCTTGGGATAAAAAAAAAGATTGTTGGGTTAAAACCAATAAAAGTTTTATTTTTTCATTTAAAGATGATAACATACAAAATTCAATTCTTAGCAGAGTTAAAAATGAAAATTCTGCTTTATCATATTCTAGATATAGAAATAAATATGGACCATATTTTGGAGATGGTGAATTCGTCATGGCATCAAATGTATATGATTTTACTCAAGATAAGCTAAGTTGGTGTTCTGGTAATAATTATTATTATGAAAAATCTATTAGAACCACCGATGGTACATTTTCTATTAAAGATTATGAAGTATTTAAAGTTATTAACAAATCAATCTAAAATCTTTATTATTTTTATAATTAGTGATATAAATCATTAAAACATGAGTATTGTAATCATTCTCTATAATAAAGAATTACTCATAAATATATTCAATAAAACAATCAAATTCGGTTGTCTATATATCTGATATTGATTATATCGATTATAATGTAATTATATAATTATATAATTATATTAATTAATCAAAATTATCATTAATAACGCTACTGTAGTTTTTCATGTTACTTCAACTTAAAATTAATTAATCTTCGCGACTATTTTATATGAAATAATTATTACTTATTTGATATACCTACCTACATTAATTGTACCGTAGATTTTTCAGTATTAAAAATAAAGTAAAAACAATTAAATAAATTCATTCTTTGTTTATATCATTATTTTATTTTATTTTAGTGCTTAAAACTCTTTTTGGTTGTAATGCTTTATTTAATTTAAGTTTCAATTTATATAACTTATTTTTAATGAATTATTTTTGGTAAATTAATTTTAAGATGCATAAGAATTTATACATTATATTAAAGTTTATATCCAATCACTTCTAAATTACAAAAGAAGGTTTAAATTCTAAAAAGTTAATTTAAAAAAATGTCATTTAATTTTTTAGAAAAGTCATCTCTAGACCTTTTAGAACTTCTTAATGATAAGGGGAACACTACGTTATTATTGAAGTTAATCAAGAACAAAATTAAAAATATTATGGCAAAAAAACAAATACAGATTATAAAATTCTTACTTGAGAATAGTTTCGAAAATTTGAGCAGAAATATTTAGTTTAGTTTTATTAATATTTTCATAATTGGGAACAGTTTTTATTAAAGTAAATTGAACGATAATGCAAGACAACTGAGTGTACAGTAATCAACTTCGACAATAACAACGTATTCTTCTTTATCATTAAGAAGTTCTGAAAAGACTTGAGACTTTCTAAATTTAAATGTCGTTTCTAAATAATTTTTTTTTAGAATTTTTTTAGATAAAAAAATTCTAGAATTTATGTTTTTGACTAAATTTAATAACGATGAAATGCGCCAAAATGAATAATCTAATTTTTTTTATTATGATCATAATACTTATAATCAATCAAAGAAAATTGAAAATCCATCATGAATAAAAAAAAAAAATTAGTTGATCATTCCACCAGAGATTTCTCCCATCGACTAGCTATTGACTCCTATACTTCCCCCAAATCTAATTCGCCGCCATCTGTACACTTGTCCACCTGAACACATTTTTACCTTTCACCGTGTTCCAAAGTTTGGGGTTTGTAATCTCTTCATTATGTTATGAAGTTCTTTATTATTGTTTCCCCAATGGACATGTGCCTAAACTGCTGTAAGTTTGTCTCATACTTTCTTTCTCTGATAACCCAACCTAAGTTATGCTACAATTAATTTGTAAAAATCAACTGACGCAATATACCAGTTATTTCAAACTTCCGCCAGATTCACTATATAAAGAAACCCATTTTGTGGGTCTATGTGACCTTAATTGTGTCTCCTTCTACTTTCTATAGATTTATTCCAGTCTTGCTAATTTCTTTAGTAATGTCCCGTTCAATTTTTTTTATTGTTTGCAAATCACCATCTTCTTTTATTTTTTTAGCAATTTAAATTGCCCTTTATTGTTTTATTGTAATTTTCCTCTGTGGAACAACAAGTCCTGGAGCTGGTGCTGTTGGAATAAAGGCAAGTGCGGAACTAGATTGACGAAAATGGCTACAAGCCGTTGACACTGAATTATGGCATTGAAGGTGGAGGACTGAAGGAAGTCGGTCTCATTTTTCCAGAATAGATTTAAAGTATTTCTATAAATATTTTGTAATGATAAAAGTACATTTACCTTTGATTGTATATATTGATGCATCTGGAACTCCATTGGCTCCGGCGGTCGAATAAACGTGAGACGCAGGCATATTGGTTCAAAAATTAAAATTAAAAATAAATTTAATTATCAATTGATATTAAATTAATATATCGTGATGAAAATGAATTAATTAATTATTGAGAATGAATTATGATTTTGGGGAAAAGATGAAATAACTTAATTTTCAACGAAATAAATCAAATGCGAATATATTAATTGTAATTAAATGGACGAATAAATGAATTGATGGAATGAGTTCACAATGAATGATAGGTCAATGAAATATATTAAAAAAGAAAAGTTACAATACAATTTTTCCAGAGTATTCATTCTTTTATCATATATGATTTCATTTAAAAGGAATTTTGTATCATAATTATATAAAGATTACGAGTTATTTATATTAATAATAATTTATTTATGTAATAAATTAAATAATAAAAAAATAATAATAATGATAGTCTCACTCAAGAAATGATTAATGCATGTTATTTTTATTATTCGGAAAAAAAATAATTGTAGTAATGATATACATACATACATATTGTTACATAATCTCTCAATGAATTTCGTATGACTAATACCGAAGTCCGAAGAAATTGTCTTCAACTTCATTTTTAATTTGTAATTTACTTCGATTTTCCAATCAATTCTAGCATTTTGCGTATTTTTGTAATAATAATAATAAATGCGTTTTTTTGCATACTAAAAACAACTTGCAATTTTAAATGTAATTTATATTTCTTTTTTCAAAAAAAAAAAAAAATTCTACTTTTCATACCATAGCCAAACAAAAGAATGGTATATGGAATACGCTCAGAATGCAATCAAGGAAATACTTGAGATTGGTGCAAACTCGAAACATTTCTAAAATGATTTACGACTGGAAATGTTAAAATAGATAAATTCATTCAAGATTCACAATTAAATGTTAATGAATATTTGGAAGTAATAGAATGGATGCCTTGTGATCGAGACGCTGCAGTATCTTGTGATGAGATTGAAGGTACTGTATATAATTTTTATTTTTATTTTTATTTTAAATAAATAACTGAATTAATTATAAATAAAAAATATCATTAATAGATGGTGGATGTGATGATAAGATAAAAATAAAAAAGATGATAATAATATAAAAGGCAAGGATGAAATGATTATGACCAGAAGAAATACAATGCCGTGTAAACATATTTTTATTAGGAATAAATAAATATATTATTAAATATTTTTTTATGTACTAAAATCTATTTATTATTTTTTTTTTTACAGTTGACTTTATATTGTATTAGCTGTTGTAAACAGCATTAATCACAAATTATTTAATTTCTGAATGTGGATATTCCGTGACAAGTTGATTTTTATGTATGTTGTTGTACGCTGCTGCGTTCGATTGAATTAAATCTTTGTTATGGAGAAATTTTTAATTTTAATTTCATTTATTAATTCTTTTAGTTGGTTTATATTTATATATATATTATCAAAAAATTTTATTATATGTATTTTACATTAAAAAACAGTCATTTTATTCAAACGTTGTGCAAATAATAACATGAAAATCGAAAATTTTAATAGTAATACCTCAATGAAATCGTCAGCAATAAGAATTTATAATTAGAATATTCCGCACATTATCATGGTAAAATCAATAATTCCATTTAAAAGTAATATGCAGTATCATTTCATTTTTGATATGATTTTCGATATACTGTACATAAATAAAAAAAGAAGATTCTTTTCAAGACCTTCTAATGATTATGTAATGAGATTGTTTTAGGTTTTTTTTTGATGAATCTTGCGATACGAGTGTCTTCTACAAATATTGCGGGGTAAAAGCAGTGTAACTAAATATTTGTCAATCAGCGTGAGAAAAATAGAAACAACCAGGCATGATTGTCCGGAAAGATCTTCATTAAAAAAAATTATATATTAAGATTAAACGTTCTAATGGATTATGTAATTAGGTAATTTCATTTTATCAAAGTATATTATAATTGATGTTATGTATATCATTTTAACCAGATATATTATCATTGTAACTAAATGGTTTATCTGATGGGGTTTTGGCCATCAGTTCTCAAGCTTAGCTTGGGCAACGATGGGTCGAACGGTAAAATATTTTTTTGGTAAGTTTCAATAAATTTACAATATTTTTATATGTAGAAGATCTACAATTGAAGAAAGACTCCGTTGGATAAAAAAAAATCATTGTAACCAAATAACATGTCATTTTATCAATGTTTCATTTATTAATTATCAATTTGATAATAGAAATATTCATAAGTAGAAGGGGATTGCCCTGAGAGAGACAATTTTTAAAAAATTTGAATAATAAAGTTTATAAATAAAGTTTTGTCTGACCATCACGTAAATATTTACGTAAAATTAATGATAACCCTTCTGGATTTTCTTTTAATAATTTTTTTTTACGCCTGATACAAAGCTAAAAATTATGCATATAATGCGCTACTAAAGTTAAAATTAAAGCTATTTAATGTAGAAATATTTAATATATAAATAATTTAAATAAATTTTTACAAATTAATTTAATCTATTATCATATTTTATTCTATAAATAAATTCAAAGAAAAAAAAAGATTTTTTTTTGTTGTGATTGTCATTATAAAAACGAATTAATTTTTATTTCTAAATGTAATCAAACTTATTTTTATTTTTAATCATTCAAGTTATTGGTGTTAGGCGCCAGATTTACTTGTAATTATTATAAATCGTAAATTAATTGATTCGCCATATTATTATCTGCTGAGCATACATCATTGAAATTTATAAATGTTATAACGGTAAATTATATAAAAAAAGGGGTTACCGAGTTGCTCGTTAATATCTTGACTTCTTTTGTGGTTTCAAAACTGCATTATACCCTTCGTCGGATGTTAAGTATCTCGGTTGAAAAATTACATATTTAAGTGCTTGAAAAAATTATCCTTTCCGATAATAAAGAATTTCTTCATTTTTGCATCTATTCAAAAATTCATTCTTTATTAGAGATTTAAAATTATAAGACCTATTTATTTATTTTTTTTTTTTTAACAAAAATATTTTCATAAAAAATATAAATGAATAATTTAAATGACCTCCTCGTTAATATAAACAGAACATTAATCTTTCCTCCATCATTATCAATTGAAGAAGTTATCCGTCTTTTCAATTCCAAGAGACCTTTTCGAAACCATAAAAACTGTCACGGATATATGCTGTGCAGAATTTTGGTCGCTAGAGAATGCCAAAGATTGGGAGAAAATAATAAAATGATAATTTCTGGTGTAACGAGTTACTTATGGAAGGAATCTACAAGCCAACAGAAGTCAGAATACGTTGATATGGCACAAAGAGTGAAAACTCTTTATATTTTTTAATATTAAAATTAATGAATTTTCTTCTTTTATTTGGAACCATATTAAAACATTTTATTAAACTTATCAAACTAAAAAAAAATTATTCATTCAAAAAACATTGAGTATGAAAGGCGTGGCACTTTATCATACAAATTTTTATTATTTTGAAAACTTTTAACGTTGTTCTTAAATTTCTTGAATCATTCTTTGCTTTCTTTATTCTTATTATTATATTATCATTACATTATTACACTTATAATACAGAACATTCAATTTAAATTATTTAAATTATGAATTACGACTATATGATTATTTTACGCTTTTATTATATGTTAAATATTATTCGGATTTATTTTTATTACGATATCGTATTTATTCATTTGAGTTAGAATTAAATGGTCGAGTTGTTTTTGTGCATGAAAAAAATACTTTGAAAATATGCAAAAAAAAACTTTTTTTAAAAACCAGATTATAGAAGTTATTAAATTATAAATTATTATAAAATATTATTAATTTCTCTTAAATTCTTTTTCTCACTTATTACAATACTTCAAAAAAAAAAAAGCTTTCATCAGTGCATCATATTTTATACTTTATATTCTTTATAAATGCTCTATAATAGTTTCTTATAAATAAGAATGAACGTTGCCCAACCCTAAACTTTTAAGATTTGTAAGTTGATCTCACCATTCTTTTCTTTTAAAAAAATAATTTCATTCCGATTTCGTAAATACCGTAAATAATATAAGATATAAATACACATAAATCTATCAATTTTTCAATCGAAGATTTAGAAAATGCTTTAATTGTTAGATAGACCGCGAAAAAAATTTTTCTCCTGAATTTAATATTCTTAAATATCTGTTGCTTTTATTCCCAATAACAACAGCTCTAACAACAATACCAATTCTCACACTTCATGCCTTCGACCTCGACATCCAAAATGCATTTCTTTTGAGTTTTTTTTCAATATAGGTTCTTTTTTTTTCTCAGCTCCAATTGTAAAATTAAAAGAGATTTAAAATCTGAGTCAATATAATGGAATAATTCTTTATCGAAAATACCAATAGCCCATTTAAACGACGAAATGGACGAAAAGTAACGCCAGATTAAAGTTTACTTTTTCTATTTTATCATGACCCATAATAAGAGGATCGGAAAACTTTAGTTCTACTTCGAAAAAGTTGTTGATAAAAGCTGCGGAAGATATCACTTATTTTATCTTTTGCTTCGTTATTCTCTATAAAAATGAAATAATTAAATTAAAAAAATGACTTATTATTTGTAACACCAAAGTAAAAAATATTCAAATAATGGAATAAACAGTTTAATTGTTTAAAAGTAATCATTTTTTGAGAAATTATGCATTTCGGATAAATAAATAGATAAATTATTAATTCGTAATCCGTGTGAAGATCATAAGCACGTGATCAAGATTAATAATAAATTTCTATAATTAATCGGGTATTGCTAAAGCTCACCGGTGATGATTGTCACCGCCGAGCAAAATTACATCTGATCAAGTACTTTGCCCACGTAAATTTAATTTTGCCCAGTGGTGACAATCACTACCGATGAGCTTTAGCAATTCTCAAATTAATCGTAGTACTGTAAATCGACGATTTTTTAAAATACAACTAACCTCAGCTGATAACCTTATCCCAGAACTTCATTAAAACCTGTATACAATAAATTAGTGCTTTTTTACTAATAAAAAACTATAGTGACGAAAACAAAATAAAATTTATTAAATTTGGCCAAATTAATAGTAATTTCGGCTGAAATGACCAAATTTTACAAATTTTACGAATTATACATGTCCAAATCTCGCTTTCCTTCTTATAAAAGTTTGCGAAAATAAATATAATTTTTTTATTTCGATTTAAAATAAATTGGCAGTTTTTTTATCCAGATTTTTTTAAGTTGTACAATATTTTTGTTTTAGTATCCAAAAATTTTTCTATGATCGCCCAAAATTTTGCTTAATAAATATTCTGATTTTTATACGATTACGAATTAAATAGTTTTCTTAACAATCTTAAATACTTCATAATTGATGATTGAAAAGCCAAATGATGATTTTCTTATAGGTTTTTTATAATAGCCATAATTTTTACTGACACAAAGATCATCTAAAGCGAAATTAAATTTATCACTATACATCCAAAAATCACCAAAATGTGGTCCGAAGTATTTTTGATCCTTTTTGGACATATTACGAATTGCATCTTTAGGTTTTCTTATTCTGCTAAGAATTGAATTTTGAATTTTACCATTTTTTAATGAGAAAATAAAACTATCATTTGTTCCATCCATTCACCATTAGTATTTTTATCCCATGCCAATGGATTATAACCTCCAACAATTTCATCTGTTTCCTTAACTTTTACTAAAATTACCGTACAAGCGTGACCATGGCAGATATTCCAAAATGTTTGTGGTGCAAACCCATCTTGAGTTCCACGTAAGATTAATTCAAATTTATATGGAATATTTGTTAAAGTATATTCAGTAGTCTTACGGTCAATCCATGTGGAAATTTCTGCTGCATGTTTGTCAGAAATAATAGTTGAAAAAGATTCTCTCGGTGCTTCTGCACAAGGAAATAACTCTGTAACCAAAACTGTTCTTGGCGTCAAAATAATGGATTTTACTGGTCGTTCAGGAGCTACTATATGCTGATTTATATCTTTCCAAAGTTGTTTATCGAGAATTTTTTTATATGGTTCAATTTTATCAAAGACTTCGATAGCTGATAAATGAAAATAACGAATATGCGGTAAACATTGTTGTAGAGTAGTTTTTAATGTAAGAAAATCATCCTTGGTCCATTCATCAAGTTTTTTAGGAAGAGTAAGAGTCTGAGCAATTCCCCACTTGATGATATAGTTCCAAATTTTAATTTCTTCAATTTGCAAATCATTTCGTTTGAGAAGAGACACTATTGCGGATTCTTCAAGAGAAGTAAAATCTGAACTATCAAAAATAAGGTTTGGATACTTTACAACAATATCATTAAAGAAATTTTTTAATTTTTCAAATTCCTTTCTGCTAAAAATAAAACGATAAATAAAAGAAAAATGTGTTCTTAACCAGGAGCCTTTAGTTTCAATAAGAAGAGTTTCTAATTTGTTAGTTAGTTCCTCAAGTTCAAATTCATCAGCAGCCAACATTAAATCATAAATAAATCTAGTTTCACAATTTTCTAAATCAACAATTCCTCCATAAATATATCTAAAAAAAAAAATAAATAAATAATAAACGAAATAATAATAAATAAACTAAATATTCAATATAAGTATAAGAAATACCATTCATATTATTTTGATAGAAACTTACTGAAGAATAACATTAAAAATTTGAGCAGAAATGCTTGACTTGACGATTATTTTAATATTATTTTCATTTGGCTGGATATTATCTAATTCTCTACGGAAATAAGACGATCGGAATTTCAATACGTTGGAATGTGCCGTAAACGATTTTTCCTTATTTTCGACTTCAATTATTACATTATAATCATCTTTATCATTAAGAACTGCGATAAAATTTTGAGATAACTTGTCAAAAAATTTTAAAGACATTTTTATTTTTCTTCTTTTGATAATGTAAATTATTGAAACTCGAAAAACAGAAAATTTATACGATTAGTGTATGATAATCACACGATTTCTTATTCTGATATCGTTTAAATTAAATAATTAAAGTTAAATTAAGTAAATACAAGTTTAAAACCTACGAGGTAAATTATCTTCGGTCATTTTTATAATAGTCAAACCTTATAGTACTATGTATAATCCTAACAAATATAATCATAAGTGAAGTCCGAAAAAAATAGTTATTTTCCATTATTCACATGATTTAATAGTAACAAAAAAAAAGATGAAATAGATGAAACAAATGAAATAACAAAATAATAATTATTTAATAAAAATAAAGCATCTAAAAAATAATTTTTTAAACATTACAAACTTAATGTATACTAAGTATATTTAATCATTTTATTGAATATATTTGTATATATAATTTTTATCTCATGCTATAATTATTAAAATACATGATTTATCATTATTATACATGTATTAATTTTCTATATTTACCCTTTAAAATCTATGATTAGAATATAAAACTAATCATGCATTTTCAAATTTATTAAATACCAAATATTTATGTTTTAAGTGTTAAAACCTTCAAAACTTTTGAAATCTATATGCTATAAGTTCTCTATTTCATATAAATACCCTAAAAAATACATAATATTTCTTAATTATTGTTAATTATATAAATTAAGAATGGATAATTTTAATCAAAATGTGAATCTTTGACGTCGCATAAAATTAGATCAAGTTTTATTGCAAAAAAAAAAAAAAATCAATTTTATGTAATGGAGACATTACCTTCTCTCTGCAAACTATATAACTTATTTGCTTAACTAATTTATTTTATTTACATCAGGAAAATTTTTACTTCGAAAATTTGTGTAAATTTGCGCATAAAATTTTCGCGGAAATTAGCGAAAATTTTTTTGCGCACTATTTAGAAGGTGCCGGAAATTTGCGCAAATTTTCGCCTATTAAAATTTCCTGATGCCATGTTTACCGACGATCACTTATTAAACTTATTTATCAAACACTCCTATCATTTCATCCTCAAATTTTTTTTTCTTCGATCTCTTATGATTTTCTTAATTTCTTAGTTTATTTATTTATACTATGAATAAAAGTTGCTACAATTTTATTATAAAAAACATAAAACAACGGTAATAACTATAATAATTGTAGTTGTTCAAATATTCTTTTTATTTCATTTTCTTTACGATACATCGCCATCGTCGTCGGCATTGTCGTCGCCGTCGTCATCGTCATCATTGTCACAATGTACTGTAGATGACCAAAAATTCTGAGACCCAATCCCTTTAACACCACCTTGTGAATTTCAGTCCGTTATTGATAAAAATCTGACGGAGTCATTTTTAACCTATTGAATGACGATAATCACGATAATGACCATTGTCATCAACTTTTATCTACTCCTTTAACAGAAAGTTTAGATAAAGAATTATCTAACGATAAACTTAAATTATTTTATGATGGACGGGATTATCTATATTAAACGACATAATTTTCATAATAAAAAAAAATAATAACAATTAACTAGAAAAATCTATCTAACTTTGTTCTTATTTACAGAGAAACTATAAATTTTTATTGTTAAGATATCAGTAAATTGAATCGAATGTATGTTCTTAACCTGAAAGAAAAAGATTTACCAAAGCCCATACCAAAGTATTAATAGGTATTGTGGAAGGTAATGTTGAAGACAAAGTCACAAGTATATTAATGATCAAAATTCCAAAAAATCAGGTAACAACAAGTACATTAATGATCAAAATTCCCAGTTAAACAACCAGAATAATTGAGGCTCTTCCAGAAAGATCAGGTAATAACACTGACTGACCAGCAAGCAAACCATACTCTAACTTAATTTTCTTTTAGGATATTAAAGCGCAGTCTAAAATTTTTTTTTTTGATGCGGCGAAGGGATTATGAGGCACAGTTTCAGTGAAGAAATAATAAACTTGGAAATTTACCAGAAGATCATTCAAATTTGTAGCATAAGTAACGATCAATTTGGAATATTGTTTCACATAAATATTTTAATTTATTTTTTTGTGTATGATACAATAATGAGTAGGTTCTACGTATTATTGTTTGTTATTTTGTTAATCATGAGCTGCGTCGAATGATAAATATTATATAAAGGTATAATTATTTTTTTTTGAAATTTCGATCAAAAATAAATGGCAAATAAAATTCCCACAGAAATATTAATAAAAATTTTAAATAATAATGTTCAATCATCTCGTTCAACTCAAGATTTACATTCATCCTTATTAGTTAATCGATTCTGGTGTAGGGTTACTGCACCTATACTTTGGGGATTACCTTTGGATCAAGAATTTCGTTGGATGGGTTATAAGAAGTTGAAGAAGAAAGCATTATGTATTCGAGCTTATATATCATGTTTGGATACTCAATCTAGAACTTTACTTACTCAAAATGGTTTTGATTTATCATCTTCACCACCTCAAGCTACTTTTGATTATCCATCATTCATTCATAAAGTTAGAATTGATAATTTATCTTATTTTATTTCCATATATTCACAACAAATTTTTAGTTCAGATCAAGATATTGATAAAAATAATAAAAGTAAAAAACCCATCATTGTCACCAAATCAAGAATATTATTTCGTGAAATATGTGAATTAATAACAAATCGTTGCACATTTTTGAATTCTTTTCAAATGACCAAAATTGCTTTTAAAAATTTTCTAAATGATGATTTAATTTGTTCAATTCTCAAGTCCCCGAAAGTATTTAAGAAATTAGAGACATTTGTTTCGTCGACATTAAATGATGAACTAATTGGTACATTATATGGATCATTAGCATTAATTTGTGATAATATTTTAAATATGGATTTGGAATTTAAGTCAGAATCTCAAGTCTTATTATTAGAAAATCTTATTAGTGTTCAAAAACAGTTAGAAAATCTATCAATTACTGATTATTGTTATAAAATAAATTGTAATTCATTATTATCGGTTATCTTTAGTCAAAAAGAAACATTAAAGAGTCTTCGTTTAAAATTTGTAAGATTTTATGATTTTGAGAAGAAATTATTACCAATTGGACGATTTACTTCACTTAAAGAACTTTATATTGAAAATTGTTATGGATTGAATCAATTGGATTGTTTATTTTTTGCTCCATCATTTAACCAATTAAGTATATTTCATTATTTTCATACAAATTATCAACTTAATGGGGATGCTCACAAATTTATTGCAAAAATTCTAGAAACGGCCAATACAAATTTAAAAAATATTTGTCTAGATATAGATCACTCAATTCCATTTGATGTGCTTTCAGTAATTTTAAATTGTTGTACAAAGGTTACCGAATTAACTTTACTAAATTTAAATATTATACAAGCAATAGCAATATTTCATAATAAGTTTAATGAATTAAGGAGTTTATCATTTGGTTATGAAAAAGAATTGGATGCTGAAGAATTATTATGTCAAATTGGTGAAAAAGTACCTGAATCACTTGAAACTATTGAAATTAGAATGGGGGCATTTAGTGCCGAAAGTTTAGAAAAACTTTTTAAAGGGTGGTGTCGTAAAGGAGGAGGAAGAAATAAAAGGATTATTGTAAAACGTACAATACAAGCGCATCGATATCGATTTACATTAAGTGATGAACATTGGAAAGTTATTGAAAAATATGGAGTTCAAATTGATATAGAATAATAATATCCAAATTATATTTTCAAATATTATTTCAAATTATTCAAATATCAACTCAGAAAATATATATTTAGTTACTTGTTTCATTGAATTATTTATAATTTTTATATTTAATTAATTAAATTTATATAAAACTATAATTTTGATTTTTAGTATATAATATTTTTTAAATATTTTCAATATTCTTATATTCAACGTTAAAGTTAATTAAAAATAATTATAGATGTTATTTTAGCTTTAAAATATTTTTAATTATTATTATAATGGTATTCATATTTTGTTTCGTTGCTTTATAGTTCGTTTCTTCATTGTTTCACTTGTAATTTATTTGATATAATTGAATAAACGTTATATTTTACAACTAAATATTTACGTGCATTTAATAACAATTTATTTAACTACATTAAAAAAAAAAGTAAAAATAAAATAAATAAAATAAATAAAATGAAAATAAATAAAATACAAAAAAATAAAAAATAAAAAAAAAATAAAAATAAATAATATTTTCAAAGTAACAGCAAAAATATTGGCTATCCAGTTACACACCAATAATCTTTTTGTTAAACAATGAAATTATTTGATTCATTATTTTCCCATAATATTAAATATATTTACTTTCATTTAATCTTTCTATCGTAATAATAATAGTTCTAAAATTTAATCGTTTCAATCGTTATTCATATAGGCAATACTACGATCGTTAATTTGGTTGAATTTGGTTGAATTTTGTATTCTAAAATAATAACTATAATTTATTAATGCTATAATATGCGTATTAAAAATACTGAAAATATACATGATTAAAGAAAAAAAAATTGATTTATACGCAAAAATAAAATAAAATAGTTCATGAGGAATAATGCGAATAAAAGAAGATTCAAAACTAACCAATCAATCTATCATATTCAGTATTATCCCTATTTTCTTTCCGATTCTGGGTATGATTATCAGAATTATTTTCTTTCGAATCTGGGATACTTATTTCTGATTCCAATTGGCAGCGAATGATTTCCAATCGGAAATAGTTGAAAATCAGCACTATTTCGACTCTAAATTATTACTTCTCCTCTAGATACACGCATTGATAACATGGTATTCTATTATTATGAGCATACAATGTCAAATTACAATGCATGTGTCATATTACAATGACAATGCTATAGAATTTGGTGCATCAGATAATTAATTTATTTTTACTATATATGAAAAATGATTTCTTATTCCTGTCGAACAATATCTTGATTTTTTTTTTTTTGATTTTTCTACATTTGATTTTGGATGGCGAAGTCATGAGACCCTAATATATATTTGATAATAAAAAATGTTTAGAGATGTCACTTTTATTGAGTTGAAGTCAATCGAATAATGTAAAGTTAAACATGATTTAATTTAACGCAACGCAATTGACAAATTCAAGGATTTTCGAATGGTAAGTTTTTCAATTTTTTCTCACGCATATTAATAATAAATATATGTCTCCTTTGGAACCAAGATAATGTATTAAAGATTTATGTATAGTAATAACTACATTGTAATATACAATGCAATGTTGTGAGTGTTTAAATCTGAGTAGTAGTCAAATTCATTTTACTTAAGAACAATGATAGGTTTTGTCGATTTTTCATTAAGTCGATAATATATTTCTATTAATATTTTATAAAAAGGAATTGTTTAAATAACTTATTTTCTATTTTATTTTGTCTTTGTATTTTCTTTTTTTTTATTTATTTTTAAATAAATTTGGTTTGCTTATTCCATTTTGTTTTTTTGAAATTCTCTAAATTTGTTATAGCCAGCGAATTATAATTTTTGCTAATAAAAAACAACCTAATTTTCAATACAATTTTTCGTTTTTTTAAACATCATTTCACACAAAGTTACAATGCTTTTTGTGAAGTATAAATTTCACTTAATTTCATTGTTAAAACTATTTTATTAGAATTAATAGTAATTTTCTTTTTATTATATGATAAGTGATCATTCAATTTATTATACTGTGGTTAACAGAAAATTTACTTGAAAACTAAATAAAAGAAATGCATTATAGGGACGTCGAGGTCGAAGGCATGAAGTGTGAGTATTATTACTGTTGTTGTTGATATTGAGAATGGTAGCAACAAATATTCAGGATTATTAAATTCAGGAGGATAATCTATTCTAACAATTAAATCTTCGATTGAAAGATTTGAAGTCGTCATTTTTCCTTTCCTTTCTCTTCTTTTCAAGATTTACAATATAGTGCATTGTTATGTTATATTATTTACGATATTTACGAATCAGAATTAAAATTATTTTTTTTAAAAGAAAAGAATGACAAACAATTTCTTCTTCTTGAAATCAACTTACAAATCTTAAAGAAATATAATTTTTTTTAAAGTTTAGGTTGTGCAACATTAATTCTTATTTATAAGAAATTATTTATAGAGCATTTATAAAGAATATAAAGTATATAAAATATAAAGATTTTTTTTGAATTATTGTAATAACTGTGACGTTAAAAGAATTTAAGGGAAATTAAGAACAATAATATTCATAATTTGATAATTACAAACTTCTTGGCCTTCTATAATCTACTTATCTTATTTTAAAGAAAAATTTTTTTTTCATAATATTATAGTTTGTATATTTATATTGCAAAGTACTCGTATATAAGGAGTCGGAGTCTAATAATAATAATAATAATTGTATTGTTTATTGTAACACTGCATTCACTGGAAACAGGTTTATTTCATTAATTAAATATCCCCTTTTCGCACATGCAAATCGCCAAATATAACCAATTTAGATCACTTTATTTGTTTGTTTGTTCCATACTGTTGGATTTTTAATTTATACAAATTTATACAAATTAAGTTTTTTTTTCGGCCAATAGAAGCAAGGTCACAATATTTTTAAACGGGAGTTTATTATTTATTTCATATAAAAATCCATTAATTTAAATAAAAAAAAAAAAGACAACCATTTAATTCTAACTCGAAATACGATATTATAATAAAAATAATTCGAATAATATTTTTATACGTTTAATAAAGCGTTGTGTTTGTGCTTGTTTGTTAGTTTGTGAAAGAAAAATAATCATATCATACAATAATTTAAATCTAAATCGAATGTTCTATATTATAAAAATAATGACGATAATAATTAAGAAAACAAAGAATGATCCACGAAATTTAAGAATAACGTTAAAAGTTTAAAGATTTGTATGAAAAGTGCCACGTCTTTCATATTTTATGTTTTTAGAATGAATAATCTCTTTTAGTTTAATAAGTTTATAAAAAGTTTCGATATAGCTCAAAATAAAAGAAGTTCAAAAATTATATAGAGTTCTGGCTCGTTGAGCCAAATCTATGTATTCCGACCTCTGTTGGCTGTTAGCCTCCTTCCATAAGTAACTCGTTACGCCGGCGATTATCATTTTATTGTTTTCACCCAATCTTTTGCATTCTCTAGCGACCGAAATTCTGCACAGCATATATCCGTGACAGTTTATGTGACTTCTAAAAGGTCTTTTGGAATTGAAATGAAGGATAACTTCTTCAAGTGTTAATGATGGAGGAAAGATTGATGTTCTATTTATATTAACGAGAATGTCAAATAAGTTATTCATTTATATTTTTTATAAAAATATTTTGTTTAAAAAAATAAATAAATAGGTCTAAAGAGGACTTTTTCATTCGATTAAATATGTAAATTTTCAACTGAGATCAGTTAGTCGATTGAAAGATAAAAGAAAGAATTTCGTGGTCTGACACTGACGAAGGGGTAAAATGTAATGAGACCATTGATGTCAATATATTGATATTAACAAGCAACTCCCCTTTTTTTTTGATATAACATAATTGACCATTGCAACATTATAAATGCTTATCCTAAAGAAATAAATTCGTATGTACATGTAAAATACACTAATAGAAATAATTTTTAAGATTGAATTTGTCATTTGTTACAATTTTATTAATCACGATCACAGACATAAAAAAAATTTATTATTATTATTATCGTTTGATAATAATTTAAAAAATTTATTTAGATTATTTATAAATTATAATGAATTATGTATAAATATCTTGAAGAATATCCTAATACTATTTTAAATATTACAATAATGTTATTTGACTATACACTTTCCTTTTTTAGTTAAATGTTCCCCATATATTAAATATTTTTAAGTCGCCCAAATAACTTCAATGTCGCATCATATGTACACCATTTTTAGCTAAAATAATTAAAAGAAATCTCGGAAATATCGAAAAGGTTACCATTGTTTCACGTAATTATTTATTATTTTAGACAGAGATACAATTTTGACTGTTGAATGGTTAAACTTTATTTACAAACCTTATAATCATTACTAATTATCTAATTTCTTACAAAATATTTTTAATAAAATGGTACATTAATAAAAAGACCTTATCATTGGTTTTTTTGATTACAATGATAATTGGACAATCTTTCTTTGTGTAATATAAGATAATTAAATGAATAATAAATGGAAAGATCTTAATGATAAATTACCAAAATTTTAATTTCCTATTCAAGATTAGCTTCTTTGATCAGAACGTAGATGCTTCGCTGATGCTGACGATCATAATTATATATTCGTGTTACTCTATAAGTAAACATCACATTTTGATCCGAATGATTTTTAGTTAGATCATATCCTTCATATTTTTGTCTTCAAAAAAGGAAATTTAAATAAATTATTGAACAACAAATACACTTCTCCTTAGATACACACATTAATAACTTGCTCAATATTCTTTTATTCTATTATATGTATACAGTATATGTTTATGTCGCATTACTATGCTGTAGATCTTTTATTGTCTAGCATTTTTGAATGGTAAATTTGTAATATTTCTATTTTGTACTTTTTAAATTTTCTCAACGCATATATTATATATTGCCTTTAGAACACTATAGTATAATGCACGTACTGGTATTTTAATAATATTTAATATTTAGTTATTCTCTTTTGCCTAGCAATATTATTTTTTATCTCTGTAAATTGTAAATAATACCGATGATTTTTTACCATGAAGATATATATGCATATTAATTATCAATTATTATCATTCTCATGAAATATTCTAATGGTAAGAATTAAGAAGATAGCATACAAATTTCCGAAATAATTTTTTGCAAATATTTAATAAATTATTATTTTTAACTATCCACATCTTCGAATCTAATGCTGAATCAATATAAAATATAAAAAATGAAAATATTTATTATAATTTATGTATTTTTTGTCTTTTCTAAATATATCACAAATAAATGTTTAATATTTAAAGATAATGGTTAAAAATTTGCCACTTGGATATTATAAATATTCAGTTATTTCAATAGTCAAAACTGATCCAGTTCAGTTGAATTTCGGCTGACAGGTTTTTTATTTCCGATCAGAAGTACAAAATCCGCAAATAACGAAACGTCATGATCCACACCATATTGTAAATATGTAGGTCACCAGGAAATATTGAAACTAGCCTAGCATTTAACAAGTAGAAAAATAATTAGAATTTAGTTTAGCGGAAAAGCGGAGGCGGTGTTGTCCCACGTGCATTGTCCAAAAGTATTATTCGGATGTAACGTTGCATTTATTAAGTTAATGTTTGTACTGCAAATCCTTTTTAAAAATTACAAAAGAAAATTAAATTTTTTTAAAAAAAATGACATTTAAATTTTTAGAAAATTATCTCAAGACTTGTCAGAACTCCTTAATGACAAAGAAGAATATAATATTATCGTCGAAGTTGGTCAAGAACCAAATAAAAAAACTTCACTGCGCACTCAGCCATCTTACATTATCGTTCATCTCATTTTATAAAGAATTAACAAATACTTCTCTTAATGATGATAATAATACTAAAACTATTTATTTTTAATTTAATTATTGTACTCTAATATACTACGTTATGACATGAAATATTAAATTAAAATAATTGAAAATTTGATAGATATATCTACGGCGGAATTATTGATACCGAAAATATGGATACCAGAACTATATACGATTTAATGATTCTTGCTAACGAGCTTGAATTTGAAGAATTATCAGAAAAATTAGAAAATAATATTATTGAATCCAAAGCTTCTTGGTTAAGATCTCATTTTTCCTTTGTTTATTGTTCAATTTTTAAACATAACAAATTTCAAAATTTATAAAAATTTTGTAATGATATTATTGTAAAACATCCAAGTATTATTTTTGAATCTGCAGAATTCATTTCTCTTCCTGAATCTGCTTTAATGTCAATTTTAAATCGAGATAACTTACAGATGAAAGAATGAAATTTGGGATTATTTAATTAAGTGGGGAACCGCACAAAATCTACTTTACGCAAGAAATTGGAAGAATGGTCTGACGAAAATTTAATGACTTTAAAAACAACCTTACAACAATGTTTACTGCTTATTCGTTATTTTCACATTTCAAGTTCAGACGTCATAGATAAAATTAAGCTATATAAAAAAATTCTTGATAAACAATTATGGAATGATTTGATACAATACCTTTTGCTTCCAGATCGACCAGTAAAATCTATTATCCTTCCACCAAGATTGATTTTAACGCAAAATTTACCAAAAAGAGTAAATGAACCATTTTCAACTATAATCGATGAAGAACATGCATCAATGATTTCATCATGGATTGATTATCGAACAACAAGGAATAATCCTTATGAATATCAGTTGATTCTTCGAGGAAGTAAAGATGTATTTGCTCCAAGAACGTTTTGGGATATTTGTGGTGGGCATGCTAATACAATTATAGTCACTAAAGTTGAAGGAACAGATGAAATTAATGGTGGATTTAATCCTTTGGCTTGGGATAAAACAAAAAATGGTTTGATGAATACAAATGAAAGCTTTATATTTTCATTTAAAAATGGTGACCTCCAAAATTCAATTCTTAGTAGAGTTAAAAATGAAAATAGAGCTTTATTATATACTGATAAAAGTAGATGTGGCCCATGTTTTGGTTATGGTGAATTCATGATGCATTCAGATGTATCTAACTTTACTCAAGATAAGCAAAATGTGTGTAGAAATGCTGCTTATGATTGTGAAAAACCTATTAGAACAACTAATGACAAATTTTCTATTATAGATTATGAAGTATTTAAAGTTATTAAAAAATCCATCTAAAATCTTATTTTTTTTTTTACTTTGTTTAATTATTCAAGTTCGTTTGTCTATATATCTGATATCTGACGTTGCTTATATCAATATATGAAATGATTATTTAGATTTCTAATTCATTAACTATTTAAATACAGTAAGTTAAAACTAAAATCAAAATGATTTGTATTGTCATTGTAGATTTAGCAATTTTAAAATTAAAAGCAAAATGATTTGGTTTTAATTGTCAACCATATTATTATGTTATTTTGTTTTATTTTATTTCAATGTTTTACGTTCTGAATTCAGACAGATCTCTGGTCCGATAGATAACGATTAGCAATTTAATTATGTATAAATATTTGTATTTATTTTTTTTTCGATTTGCTTAGATGAAATTTTTTTAGATAAAACTATACTTTTCAAAACATCAAACCTGAAGACATTAAGACATTAGAAATTAAATTAAAATTAATAAATTAAATTTTAATATTTAATACTACTATACATATACTATTACTAAATTAGTTAGCATTAAGTTAATTATTAATTTGGCAGCGCGAAGGCATGATACTACTACAGTGTATATACGACACGAAACAAGAAATCCAACGAAACGTCATGATCCACATTATAAAAACCTAGATCACCATGAGATATTAAAACTACGCTAGCATTTAACAAGTAATAAGATAATTAGAATTTAGTTTATCAGAAAAAGCGGATGCAGTACTATCCTTCGTGCATTATTATTCGGATGCAACGTTGCATTTAAATAACATTTAATTACTACGTAGTTATGTTCATCGATTTTTCACCTAATGTATTAAAATTTTTTTAAAAAACCCCTGAGATTAAGTTTATTATCAAAGTATTTTTAATATAATGTTATAAAATTCAAAATTTTACAAAACAATTATAAATATTATCAATTGTTAAAATTTTAACAAAATTGTCCATTAATTTTTTACTTAATAAAATTATTAGAAGTCTCAAAATTTATTTATACATACTCTGTAATATAAATTAATATATTACAGAATTTGAAATTTAAAAATACTTTCCCACCCCTTAAATTATACATATAGAATACATACAAATTATTTATTTTTAAATTATAATGTAAATTTTTTTTTTTTACATTTGACTGCACATGGTTGCCGAATTGGCAATTAATGTAAAAATCCCGATTACATTTTTAACACAAAAGTTTGTACTTCAATCCTTTTTAAAAATTACAAAAAAAAAGTTATTTAAAAAAAAATGACATTTAAATTTTTGGAAAGTTATCTCAAGACTTACCAGAACTTCTTGATTATAAGGAAGAATACAATGTTATCGTCGAAGTTGGTCAAGAACCAAATAAAAAAGCCTTCACTGCACTTTCGGCCGTCTTACGTTATCGGTCATCTTACTTTAATAAAGAATTAATAACTGTTCCCAATAATGATGATAATATTAAAACAATTACCAAACCAGGTATTTCTTCTCAAATGTTTGAAATTATTCTCAAGTAAGGCTTTTATAATTTGTTTTTAATTTAATTATTATGTTTTAATAATATACTACGCCATGATATGAATTAAAATAATACAATTTGAATAACTTATATAGATATATCTACGGCGGAATTATTGATACCGGATATAGGAATACCAAAACTTTGTTTGAATGATGATTGTTGCCTATAAATTGGAGTTTAAGAAATTATCTGAGAAATTAGAAAATCATCTTATTGAATCGGTTAAGAACTCATTTTTCCTTTAATTTTTAAAAATAACAAATTTCAAAATTTAGAAAAATTTTGTAATGATATTATTGCAAAACATCCAAGTATTATTTTTGAATCAGCAGAATTCATTTCTCTTCCTGAATCTGATTTAGTATCAATTTTAAATCGAGATGACCTACAGATGAAAGAATCGGAAATTTGGGATTATTTTATTAAATGGGAAACTTCACGGAATCCTACTTTACCTGGGAAATTGGAAGAATGGTCTAACTTTAAAAACAATCGCATAACAATATTCACCGCTTATTCGTTATTTTTACGTTTCAAGTTCAGATATATGAATAAAGTCAAGCCATCTGAGAAAATTTTTGATAAATAATTATGGAATGATCTGAAACAATACCTTTCAACCAGTAAATTCTATTATCCTCCCACCAAGATTGATTTTAACGCAAAATTTACAAAAAGAGTAAATGAACCGTTTTCAACTATAACATGAATGAATGATTTCATCATGAATTGATTATCGACCAACAAGTTATTCTTTAACAAAAAATATTTACGAATTTCAAATAATTCTTCGAGGAAGTAAAGATGGATTTGCTCCAAGAACGTTTTGGGATATTTGTCATGGTCATGCTAATGCAATTGTGATCACTAAAGTTGAAGGAACAAATGATATTATTTGAGGGTTTAATTCTTTTTATTTGTTTTCATATCACCATTTTATGTTTTATCCCAAGCTAAAGGCTTATATTTTCATTTGAAGATGGTAATATCCAGAATTCATTTCTTAATAGTTAAAAATGAAAATTATTCTCTATATCCCGCTAATAAAGATTATAGTCCATTTTTTGGAATTATGAATTCTTCATGTATTCATATGCATCTGATTTTACTCAAGATAATCATTGGTGTTCCAATACTTCTGTTAAATATTACTAAAATTATATTAGAACAACTAGTGATAAAATTTTAATTTTAGATTATGAAGTGTTGTAAGTTGACAAATCTATTTAAAATCTTAATTTTTTTACTTGTTTATTTTAATATTTTATAATTAGAGATATTTAAACCATTATATTTGTGTATTATTTATATAATAAAGAATTGCTCATAATTATAATTGATCATTAAATTATATCAAATTCTTTTTTCTAAATATCTGATATATCCATTATATAATTATTAATAGTTATTAGTTTTCCATACATTAATTAAAATTAAAAATTAAATTGAAATCACTTTATATGAAAAAATATGATATATGAAATGTTTATTAGACTTTCATCCAGAAACTAGTAGTTGAAAATTTTAATTGACATGATTCGTACTGGAGATTTTTGAATGTTAAAAAATAAATTCAGGCTTGATTTAATTATCAATCATATTATTCTTTTAGTATTCAAAACTCTTTATTGTTTTTCTTTTGTTCATGATGCTTTCATTGATTTTAATTTGCATTTTAACTTATTTTTAATAATTATAAATTTTATTTTTAAAAATTATTATATATTTAATTTAACAATTATAAAAAAAAATTAATTAATTAGATTTGCTTTTTATTTTCTTGAAAATAAAATTTCCTCAATAATATCTACCTTTAAGCATTGATTTGGGAATTTTATCTAAGCGAATTTTTAAAAAACAAATACATAATTAAATATTAATTGTCATAATCAATTGATATTTAAGTCTATTAGATATGAGAAAGCCTTAGAACATTACATATGATTATTTAGGAATTAAGAAAGTCTATAATTGTTATGCAAAAGTAGCTCTGTATTTCAAGAACAAATTTAATTTAAATTTACTTTTATTATGATATTTATTTATTTTGCAGCATCTTGGATTTTTTTTTAATAATGACATAAATTTAATTATTGCAAAGTCCTTGCTTTTTTTTTTAATAAATTAATTATCATTACTTGCACAAACTTTGGCGGAGCTAAGCAATCAATATTCTTTGGGAGTATAATCTGCAAAAAAATTATTACCTATTGGTAAAAGTATTTCTGAAATAATTTTAGAAATGTTACTAATTTCCATAATTTGATCTATGTCAAAACATTGATTGCAATAGTATATTGTTAAAACCCAACCCTACACACATATTGTCACCATAAAAGCAAAATACAAATGATTTGTCATTTCAATATTTGAAACTAATAAAAAATATTTAATACAAATAAATTTATTTATAAAAACCACAATAAATTAAAAATAATTATATTTCAATACCCACACTTTGTGGTAGATGACTTTTTTTTATAAATTATAATTAGCAAGAGTTTTGGCCATTGATTTGATTAATACTTATTTTCCGAGATTCTCTTTGTGAACCAAATTTTAATTCATTTTTAAAAAATAAGATACTATGTGACTTGCTTACATTCGGTTAAATAATATTCATAATATTTGAAATGCTAATTATGAAATTACAATTAAGTCCATTTATTTCCACGTAATCAATAATAATAACCAAAAATATTATAAATACTATTTTAAATTAATATTATAAATACTATTTTAAATTAATATTTTAAATAAAAAAAAATACAACTAAGAAAAGATATTATTCAAATTAAAATAACTGATACAAATTATTATTTTGATTGATTTGATTATATTAGTTTAAATTAATGATTAAATTGAATTTTAATAAATTATTCATAATTAAGAAGTGGATTCAAAAAAAAATATTTTGCCAGCCAGATTAAATAAATGGCAACATAATCATTAACATTTTATCATTTTCGTCATTTAGGTCACACATTAATTCCATATTTTTCAATCTGCTCGAAATCTTAACTAATTGCGTATGATAAGTTAATATTGTTATCATCATTCAATTTTAGTTGATTCACATTCATCATATCATTATGTCTATTGCACATTTTGTATGCTTTATATATTTGTACATTTGTTATGTTAAATAATTTCATAGTAAAATTAAAAATGACAAACTGAAGACTTTGAAAATTTAATTAAAATTACCATAATTATTGAGATTTGTCAAATATGATAAAATTTCATCTCAATTCTAATAACGACAACAACCACCAATAATTACATCATAATACCAACAACTATAAACAATTAAATTAATATCAACAATACCATAGTATTCGATTATGCAATTAAACCATAATCACAATTCAATTATCATATCATCATCGCATCGTAATAATTATTAATAATGATTTCAAGGATACATTACATTGTGGGAGTTAATTCTATGGGTTAAGTAATATTTTTAATAATAATAACATATTAATGCTTTTAATATTAATTGTAACATTATTGATATCACAGTTGATATTATTACTTGAAGTGTTTTTTAATTCTTTTGATCTAAAGTTGTTTTTGTTGTTGTAATTCGCGATTGTTTTTTTGCATTTTTTATTTATTTTTTTATTATTTTTTATTTTTTTTATTTTATTTTATTTTATTTTTATATTTTTATTTATTTTTTATTGTTTATTTTTATTGAAAAGAAGAACGATGGAAATGTTTTTGTTGATGAATTAATACGAAGATACGTGATGTTACTTAACGAAATGTAATGCGAAATGTAATGTAGTTATCAAATTAGTCATATTCATTTTATTGTTGTATTACGACTGTTTATTATAATTGATTATTGTTATTATTTATGAATGAATGAATGGTTCGTGTGTTTATATTTTAATTTATTTATTATTTATTATTCATTTTAGAAAGTCAAATAAATCATCCAAATATAAATCAAAAGTTTGTAAAATATTTATTTATAATGATAGATCATTAATTCCAACAATCAAAATTACCACCTGAATTATTAAAACACCAACAATACCGATGTAATTCAATAATAAATAAGAAATAATAATCAATATTCAATGATGAGTGCAGTTTGAAACATTATTGATAATTATTATGACGATAATAAAATTATGGTTT